TAAGGGAAGAGTGTTCATGGCAGAGGCAGTACCTATTGCAAAATCCTTAGCCTATTCAGCCTACCATGCGTGAGTCCAGACTAACTGCTCTGGAGAAAGCAAGGGAAGTAGCAGAAATGAAGATAGAAGAGAAATCAGAATCTGGGGCAGTTTTAGATCATGAATGCCTTTTTAAAGTCTTTCATTTTCACTCTAAGTACAATGGCAAGTGTTGCAGTGTTGCTGGCAAATGAGTTATATTATTTGGCTTATATTTTTAAATTGTCGTGTGACTGTTGTTTTGAAAGGAAACTGTACAGAGACATGGGCAGATGCAAAGAGACCTGTTAGTAAGCTATTATAGTAATTATAGTATGGTAATCTGGGTAGGACAGTGACTTAGATTAGAATTGGAGGGAGGGCATAGTAAAAAGGGGTTGGATTGTGGATGTATATTTAAGATGGAGTCAATATAATGTTTCTTTAGAGTGGAATGAATGAGAAAGAAAGAGAACAAATATAGTGGCTCTATAGTTTTTGACCTGAGCAACTAGAAAACTGATTGTCATTATTTTAGATGCTGAAAGTTACAGGTAAAGCAAGTGTAAAATAGTTTGCTTGTTTATCATTTTTTATCCACAAAAAAATCCACATACAATATATGTTTTAAAATCATGTTATTCCTCTGCCGATGTGATTCAGGGGGTTCCCGTGCATTAATAAAACAAAGTATTTAAAATGCTTACAAGGTGAGCCATATTTTCCTCCTGCCTCTCTCTCTGCCACCATCTCCTACTAAGTCACCACTTTGATCTTTGAGATGTTTCCTGAATATCTCCCTGCTTCAATTCTCAGTATTTGCTATTCCCTTTTCTGAAGTGCACGCTTCCCAGAAAGCATAGTAGCAATTTGTACACTCCTTCAGCTATTCACTCAACTCTTATCTCCTCAAAGATGCCTTTCCTGTTGATCCTGACACAGCCTTGAAACACCTCTTCTCAATTTCTCCCTCCACTTTTATCTGAATTAAATTAATTAATTATATAGCACTTCTCCCTATCTGTCATTATATTCATGTATTTTTAATTTTCCCTCCTTTCCCCATAAACTAATATATAATAAGGCAGAGGAGTTGCTGTTTTAATAGGTTTAATACTAGCTTTCTATATTCTAGGATAGAGGCATAGCATGTTAATTTTAATTATCAAATACAGATGGTTTTGTCTAAGATTCTTATTTTCATCTTTAAATAACTTTCACATCTGAATTATTTGCTTCCTGAGATCCAGGAAGTGACCTTGTTGCTCAGTTTATGGTTAAAAGATAAATTCATCATATGAAGTAGTCCATAAGTCTAGACATTTGTCTGTGCTCATACAAGTCACAGTGTGTAAGCATGCAATAGTATTGCAAAGATTCTATTATAAAAATAAATCTTAATTTCCTTCAAAGGCTTTTTTGCCCAAGTAGTGGAATAGGTACATGACAGCATTGAAACTGATACAAGTAACTTTCCATCAGAATCTCCATGTATGCATGATGAAACCAGAGAGACAAATGTGAACTACAATGCTTTGAGGCAAAAATTACAACTTAAACATTATAAAAATTATAAATATAATTTTGTTCATGTCCTGGAAAAAAATGTATCAAAAATTGATTCTAAGTTTTCAAACAAGTGATGAGAGTATTTCAAGATAGCACAGGAAGAGAAAACTATTTGAAATTAGTTTATAGCTATCTCCTTTCCATTTACTAGACTAGTATAGAGTTTGAAAAAGCTGTTTCGGCCACTGGAAAACTTTAAGCAAAAGTATACTTCTAATTTGAAGTTAACGCTTTAAAAAATATTTTTTTCTAATTTTTTGTTTTATGAAATTACTTTATTATTTTAATGCAGTAATAATTTTTACTAATAGTTTGTTAGTAAAATATTGAACATTTTATTTTTAATTTTATTAAATTTATGGGCTTTTCTTAATATTTAAAAAATACATTTTGAAACCTATTTAAGATGTAAATATTATTTCACTGATTTTTATTTTAATTTATAAATTATTCTAACTTTAAAACTAAATAGCAGTTATAAATACTAATACTTCTGTATTACATAAAACATTTATCAAAATGCTGGTGATGGAATTTTGTTCTGATATTGCCGTCCCTACTCTATTAATGCTGCGTTACCAACAGTGCCCGACACTTCTCATTAAAATCAGTAGTGTGCATTCCACAGGTCACTGGACAAAGTTTGGAATACTATGTCCAAAAAATAGAGTAAAGCTAATTAACTAATGAATATTGGCTTTATTGGGAAAAGGAAACCTAATAATAGAAAGATATTGAAGTCGGTGGTTAAGAAATCATTTTAGGAAGAAAACAAGTAAAAGAAGATTAGAGTATGCCTTTTTTTTTTTTTTTGTCTCCTCTTTTCCACTGTTGTATTTTATTTTCCTTGTGTTTTTTTTTTCCTTCCCTTTCATGTATCTTCACAGATCCTCACTGCTTTCCTATCTATCATCTCCCATTTTACCACTAAAATGACACCTTAAATATTTCCACCACTAAAATGACACCTTAAATATTTCCATCACAATCATGAGGTTACCCTTACCCTAAAGTCTCAAAATAGTTTTATATAAAACACAACTATAAATTGGATGTTTTAGAAATATGGTGATCTGAAAAGTCTTTCTTTTCTCTCCCCCCATATTTACCACAATTGGCCTCTGACTAAAATGGCTGCTAGACACCTAGCGTAGCTCAAATTAGTTAGCTGTAAGTCTCTCTGACCATTTCAACAGGAGTTAATGCGCTTTTGTAAACACATTTCTTAAAAAGGTCTATGTTGTTCCAGAGTTTGCTTTTGTTTTCTTTGCTTTTGTTTTGTCTGTTTTGCATTCTTCAATGTCAAGGCTACTATTGAAACTTTCTTTTTCCTTGAGAGCAGGCTGAGTTGATAGGATGTAATTTTTCTTACGAGTAAGACTTGGAAGCTTCTTTTAGATTTCAAGCCATCACTGCGAGTGGATTGGAGATGATTGCCTGAAACTCAGTAGGAAAATTTTCCGAAGGAAGAGGATGGGAGGGAAGGGGAGGGGAGGAGAGAGGAGGGCTTCTAAGTTTAGGATACAAGTGCAGGTTTCTTACACAGGTAAACTTGGGTTATGGGGATTTGTTGTACAGATTATTGTATCATCCAGGTGTTAAGCCTAGAACACATTTGTCCTCCACCTTTGGATTAAACCTCTCTGGGGCACACATTGCAGATAGTATTTGGGGGCCTCTTACCTAGTATATATGAGAGTAGAAAATCTTTGGCCCCTTTTTTTTTTAATTGGATCAATAATACCTGCTGTGTTTAGAAACACTTTCTCAGAGTTGCTGCTGCCCAGTGCTCGTCCAACACCCTTTGGATCTGATTCTTCTTAATGGCTGAATATTCATTCTTCAAGTCATAGACCTGATCCTGTTCTTTGGAAACTGCAACACAAAATAAGTCCAAATATCACATGCGTCTTTAACTGCTGTTGGCCAGTTCAGTCCATTCTAACTCAAAAGGAAAATTGAAACTCATCAACTTTTAGGATATGCTAAAGCTCTTCTATTCTTCTCTATGCTACTACATGCTCATCCTCAATAGGAAGGGATGCTACCTTTCATTAAGTTGGTATTTGGAGTGATTTCTGTATATCTAGCTAGGCCCTCCGAATGAGAGATGTAAAGTAAATATATCTTACTGTCTGTGGAGTAGTAGAGTAAAATACATAAAGATTTTCATCTATGAAATAGCAGAGTATAATACACTTAAAGTTAGGACAAATTTAATTTTATTAACCACTCTAAAATTTTTAAGTAATATGGCCAAAGCAACTAATGTAATTTCTATGAGTATGTTTCCTCATTTATAAAAGTGATAAATAATAATAATATATTTCACAACTTACAAGAATTGAATGAGAACATAAGAAAATTATGTAAAAGTAATTAGCCTAGTGGCTGGCATGTGGTGGGTGCTGAAAAAAAACTGGATGATTATTTCTGACATAAATGGAGAAATAATTTAATTCTGCAAGATGAAAATGCAAAGCTGTGTGCCTCAAACTACAGGAAAGATAAATTACTAAGGCATTTTATTGATGCTATTTCAGTGAAATTGTGCCAACAAGGCCTTTGATCCCTTTTATGAAATTATTTTTTGTTCTTATAACAGATTTAAAACAATAAATACATAGTTAAATTCCATTCATTGATAAATAGCTTCTACTAACTTAAAGTCATGAGAAGTGATATTTTTGGTCTTAAAATATTTGGTGTTTACATTAGAAAAAACAGTATTTCATTTGGGGCTCCATTTATTTTATAATAGAAAGTTTACTAAATATGATTTAAGGCACAGTACTATTTCCTGCAAATTAATGAGAAATGAGGGCAGTGGAAGCCGGAACACTAGTGTGTGTTCTTTAGCAACTTGTAGATTTCAGTTAATGAAGTACAGTAGACTGGAATATAGATTGTTTGAAAAACAATTGTAAACATGACAACTAACAAACAGAAGTCCTCTAAGTAGCCCATCTATAACTAGACCATTATCATCCACCGGCGCTCTATCCTGTCTCAAATTCATGTAGTCGTGATTAAATCCTGCTGGCACATCATCGCTATATAATGGCTCTACTAAACATTAAAAAATCACATTTGTCATCTTTTTTCTTCACATTTCAGTACTTTTCCAAAACATATATTGTATTGTTAATTATCAGTTTAGGCCAAAGTTGATTTTATTCTTAAATTCCCAAAAGAGATTATTAAGAGCATACATTGAAAATGTAGTTTACTGTAATTCTTTCCAAATACAAAAATATGAGGTTTTTGGCTAAGATCACAGGTATGTAGGGAAAAAAATGATTAATAACACCATATAATTTAAACAAAGCCTTGTTCCTTTGGAATAATGTTAATAGGCTTTTCTGAAAATATTTAAATTGTACTTTTTCTAATTTATACTGATGTATTTACAGCTGTATGTCAGGATTTACTGGAAAAAACTGTGAGAAAGTAATTGACCACTGTAGACTGCTCAGCATCAACTTTCTGAATGAAGAATGGTGTTTCAATATAATTGGAAGATTCAAAGTAAGTAATTTAATACATGGCAACATAATTTAGCACTTCAAAATACAATAGATCCAGTCAGTCTATATTTCAAATATTCTTATTAATCTTAGCCAGAGAAATATATCCTTATATGTATATTTAAATGTGACTTCTATAAAGCTTAGCAATAGGGGTTTTAATTTTTAAGAATTATGTTGGGAGTGAATTAATAAATGTTCTAGGAGGTGTTTTTATTATAAAGTAAGTGTAAAGCTAATTGAGTCCTGGTGATACAACTCTTAGTATATAAAACCCCAGTTACTAATACTTTAAGCTCTTTAACTAGATGAGAAATAAAATCAGTCTAGTGGTTGATTGTTAGGGTCCACAAAATATGCTTTTTAGTGAATAGTTTTTGAAATTAATTTACAAATACAAAATGTCTGTGCTACACATGGTAAGGGATATTTTACAACCTAGCAATGTTACTTATAGGTGTGTCTGTTGGAGAAATTATCAGGTATTTACTGAGAGAGACATACACAGGAATTTTCACTTCAAATCTGAAACAAAAACCTTGTACATAAGAGAATGGACAAATTCATCATGGTGTAGTCTTACAATGGAATTATAAAAACTAGTTAAAATCAATAGACAATAGCTATATGTATTAATTCTTACAAATATAAAAATACTGAATTTGAAAATGTCATTCATGTACAGTGTGACAATATTATTCAAAGTTGTAAAACAAATGTATACATACTTCTGTAATTACATAAATGTATATCAAAAGTATAAACACAAACTTGAGGATTACACACACCAGCTTTATTTGAAAGGCAACCTATAGGGCGGTAGAAGGGAGAATGAAATCAGGGAGAGTAGAAAGGGGACTTCCAATGTTTCTGCAAAGTTTTGTTTTTCAAAAAATACTTTTTTTGAGAAATACGGCAAGAAAAATAACTACAACATGAAGATAGAATAAATAAAAGTAGTATGGTTGTGATAAGCATACCTCATTACTATTCATTAGAAAGCTATAAAAATTAAAAAGTAGAACTAACAAGTTAAATATGGCAAAATTCCAGGATTCAATATAATTTTTTAGAAACCAGTAGTGCTTCTGTAATATAACAACAATGAATTAAGACATGAGACTAAAAATTAATACTATAAAAGTGAAAAAAGTATGATTATAAGTGTATCGAAGCACTTCAGAAAATGTTTAACAAAATGTGGCCAAGACCTCTATGTTAAAAACTAAAAAAAAAGATAACAGAGGGAAATTAAATATGCCCTATAAATAAAATTATAACATATTTATGAATTAGAAAAATTAATATTTTATGATGTCCTCTCTTCTTACTGATATTAACAAGTGTTTTGTAGAAATGGGCAAGCTGATTATAAAACTGATATGAAACATCAAAGGACCGCAAATAGCTAAGTAATCAAAAATAACAGCAAATTTGCAGGATTTTATGAAAATGATTTCAAGAGTTATTTTCAAGCTAGAGTATCAAGGCAGTGTGGTACTGGCATGTGATGCTTAATACTGAGTGTCAACTTGATTGGATTCAAGGATGCCAAGTATTGACCCTGGGTGTGTCTGTGAGGATGTCGGCAAAGGAGATTGACATTTGAGTCTGTGGGCTGGGGAAGGCAGACCCACCCTCAATCTCGGTGGGCACCATCTAATCATCTGCCAGCATGACCAAAATATAAAGCAGACAGAAAAACATAAATAGGTTAGACTGGCTTAGCCTCCCAGCCTACATCTTTCTTCTGTGCTGGATGCTTCCTGCTGTTGAACATTGGATTCCAAGTTCTTCAGCTTTGGGACTCAGACTGGCTTACTTGCTCCTCAGCTTGCTGACAACCTGTTGTGGGACCCCGTGATCGTGTGAGTTAATACTCCTTAATAAACTCCCCTTTGATATAAATCTATCTTCTTAGTTCTGTCCCTCTAGAGAACCCTGAATAATACATAGCATAAGGATGAACTAGAAGATGTCACACACACACACACACACACACACACACACACACACACACACACACGAAAGGAGAGTTCAAAGATAGATCCACAGGGAAATTTCTTTCTATCTCAAAAACACCAAGATAATTTAATGAACAAAGGAACATCTTCTTATTAAAACACACTTGGAAAAAATGTGACTCCATACTCCCTACCTCAAACCACACAATAATTAATTTTACATGAAGCATAAACCTGAGAGTAAAAGAGAAATTTATAAAACTTCTAGAGAATAAAATGGAGCAAAAAAAAAAAAACAAACAAACAAACAAACAAAAAAGGATGATATTCTTTATGACCATGCATTAGACTAAACTTTGTTAGATAGGGCACAAAATTAAATGGTTTATTGAACTTAATTAAGTTTAAAAACCTCTGTGCATCAAAATAATTTTTAAAAAGATAATAACCAGGGATTACCCATCTAAATTTACATTGGAAGTAAACTTAATTATAATAGAGGTATGTGTTGTTCACATGAGATAATATGAAATAAAATGTCTTTATTGAAACAAAATGATGTCTTTATTGAAACAAAATGATGGAAAAAATCGAGAGAAGTACTAATCAAAAACTGGTTGATGCCTACCTTACTTTTATGTAAAATAGACTTTAAAACTTAAAAATCAGAAATCGTAAAATTCTGATTTTTAAAATTCTTAAAATTAAAAAATTAATAAATCCTCTTTCATGGTGGGGTGTATTTGTTTCTTTGTGCAAAACTATATCTGAGTTATATTGTCCATTTTTAAAGGGAAAGAAATAAAATTAGAAAATATATATTGTATAGACAATCTTTAGATATCAATGAAAATAAAAGGTAAATACACATTTTAAGTGTTCAAACTGTCTCAAATTTTTAAATTTTATTTTATTTTATTTTACTTTAAGTTCTGGGATACATACGCTGAATGTAAAAGTTTGTTACATAGGTATACATGTACTATGGTGGTTTGTTGCACCTATCAACTCCTCATCTAGGTTTTAAGCCCCGCATGCATTAGGTATTTGTCCTAATACACTCCCTCCCCTTCGCGCCACCCCACCTGATGTGCCTCAGTGTGTAATGTTTCCCTCCCTGTCTCCATTTGTTCCCATTGTTCAACTCCCACTTATGAATGTTTGCTTTTCTGTTCCTATGTTGCTTTGCTAAGGATGATGGTTTCCAGCTTCATCCACATCTCTGCAGAATACATGAACTCATTCTTTTGTTATGACTGCATAGTATTCCATGGTGTATATGTGCCACATTTTCTTTATCCAGTCTATCATTGATGGGCATTTGGGTTGGTTCCAAGTCTTTGCTATTGTAAATAGTGCTGTAATAAACATACGTATGCATGTGTCTTTATAGTAGAATGATTTATAATCCTTTGGGTATATACTCACTAATAGAATTGCTGGGTCAAATGGTATTTCTAGTTCTAGATCCTTGAAGAATCACCACACTGTCTTCCACAATGGTTGAACTAATTTACACTCCCATCAACAGTGTAAAAGCGTTCCTATTTCTCCATATCATCGCCAGCATCTATTATTTCCACGTTTTAATGATCATCATTCTAATTGGTGTGAGATGGTATCTCATTGTGGTTTTGATTTGCATTTCTCTAATGACCAGTGATGACGAGCTTTTTTTCATATGTTTGTTGGCTGCATAAATGACTTCTTTTAATGGGTGTCTGTTGATAAACTTTGCCCATTTTTTTATGAGGTTGTTTTTTTCTTGTAAATTTGTTTAACTTCCTTGTAGATTCTGGATATTAGCCTTTTGTCAGATGGCTAGATTTCTCACTTTTCTCCTTATTTAATCTGGCTAGTGGTCTATTTATTTTGTTAATCTTTTCAAAAGGACAGTTCTTTGATTCAAAGATTTTTTGAAGGGATTTTCGTGTCTCTGTCTCCTTAAATTCTGCTCTGATCTTACTTATTTCCTCCCCTTCCTTGTGGCATCAATCGGCATTCTGTGTCTAACTAATCAAGCGGGGACTTCGAGAACTTTTCTGTCTGGCACTCTGTGTCTAGCTAAAGGATTGTAAATGCACCAATGAGCACCCTGTCAAAACGGACCAAGCAGTTCTCTGAAAAATGGACCAATCAGCAGGATGGGGATGGGGTCAGATAAGGGAATAAAAGCAGGCTGCCCAAGCCAGCAGTTGCAACCCACTCCAGGTTCCCTTCCACACTGTGAAATCTTCATTCTGTCGCTGTTTCCAATAAATCTTGCTGCTGCTCACTGTTCGGGTCCCCACCACCTTTATGAGCTGTAACACTCACCACAAAGGTCTGCAGCTTTCCTCCTGAATCCAGCAAGACCACTAACCTGCCGGAAGGAAGAAACTCCAGACACATCTGAACATCAGAAGGAACAAACTCCAGACACACCATCGTTAAGAACTGTAACACTCACCGCGAGGGTCCGCAGTTTCGTTCTTGAAGTCGGTGAGACCAAGAACCCACCAATTCCAGACACAATGGCACAGTCTGTCATGGCTTCCCTTGGCTAGGGTAGGGATGTCCCTGACCCCTTGCACTTCCCATGCAAGGAATGCCCCACCCTGCTTCTGCTCGCCTTCCATGGGCTGCACCCACTGCCTAACCAGTCCCAATGAGATGAACAGGGTACCTCAGCTGGAAATGCAGAAATCAGAAATCACTCGCCTTCTGCGTTAGTCTTCCTGGGAGCTGCAGACCGGAGCTTTTCCTATTCAGCCATCTTACCACATCTGGTAATCCAAACTGTCAAAAAGTTAATGAAATATTGTTTAAGGCAATATGAAGCTATCATTTTATATATTCATATCACAGAACATTAAAGTATACACAGTTTATATTTCTGTATCACAAAGGAAAATTGAGACAGCATGTTCACACGTATCCAGGAAAAATATGACTTGTAATAAGCTCACTGAGTGGCGGTAGGGCAGTATGTGCCGGAAATTTTTCAACCTGTAATAATTCAGAAATATCCAAAGTAAATTTAAAAGATTATATAAAA